TAATAATACATATAAAGACTTGCTAGTGCTTTCAATCGTGCCGAAATAATGTGGATGCTTTGATGTGTAAGAATTCATGTTTGTTTTCAATTTCTTTAGTTCAGCAGGTGCACGTAGCCTTTTGCAACTGACTGTATACCGCTATAGGCTAACGTACCATCCATTCGATCCCGTTTTCTTTTCTTTTCCTGTAACAGTAAGCTACGAGTCAGCGTTTTTCGCGGGTCCTATTATTTTTCTCTTACTCTCTTTGATTATTTTCATTTATGTTTCTCACATCACCATGTCCATTTAAGGTAGCATAAAAACTAAATTAATTCACATTTTTTAATTTAATCATTTGCTTCCTCAAGGCCTTCGGAATATTATAAGATTAAACGAGTAATTTATTTAAATACAAAACGAACTTAGAATTACTTAACTTGACGGTTACAACACTTAATTGTTTCATAATATCATGTTTTTACGTTTCATTCAATTGTTAGATCAATTGATATTTCTGCTTATCTGATAAAAGTTCCATTATTTTAGATTGTACTGTGAATTACGTGGATTACATTCACCAGATTAAATAAATAAATATCACACCATACGACGTTTTTAGGGAGATTAGGCGGTAAGGTATTTTGTTTTTACTATAAATTACATCGTAGAATCCTTAGCACCAAAAAAGGATGTAAAAATTAGATGAAATTAAATATGTAATAAAGTACAATGAAAGGAAGGACGAAAGTGTTAAAAATAGCATGTAATAACTTAATAATCAAAATAACACGTTCATAAAATGGAAAGAAAGAAAATACTTGGATTTCGTTAATTCGATCTACACTGTAATTCTTGCGTCATCGCGTATCGTTTTCGTAGTTCCTGGATATCGTATTATAAATCGTTGATAACTCAAGATTGCTATTAATCAAAATTAATTAAAACCCATTACGAAATAACGTGTAGGTAGAATGTCAGACTTTCGTTCGAAGTTCCTTGATCATAGATAGCTTGTCTTCCGCATTTGACCTTCGATTTGATAACATTAGGATAACGTGCCGGCGAGAATGCATTTATCACCATAGGTAGGGCGATTAAACAGTTAGGAAATAAGATTTTGCACGTGCAAATAATATTTCTGGGAAATAGAAGCAAAAACGTTAGCACATCATGTATAAAGCTTTGAATTCGGAAAACATTGTTAGCTTTGTCTAGTTATTCGATATGAATTTTTAGAAATCTTCGTTTTTTGCGTTATCTTTCATTGAATGACACGTACTTGCAATGACTCATGTTGCTCAAGTGTATAAATTATTTACGTGCTTAACACAGTAGTGTTTATTAAACCTAATTACAGAGACGAAAATAAATGCTTTTAGGTCATACGAATTTATCCTCGAATATTTATAACCCTCCACGTTTTACCTTTCATTGAATTCAAGTAAACAGGTGCAACAAATTATAATATATGTTCGACGACAGTGGAAATGAAATTGTTTATTGCATGGGTTACAAAGTAATTGCTGCTACGGTACGGTTCTTTTCTCTTGCATGCGAAAGTTCTACCGTGCGATATCATAATGGCGTTGAAAATCGAATCCGACGAGCGATCATCGTTAAGAAAAACTAATCGGACTGTTAAACCCGGGCAAAAAGTTAACAAAGCGGGCACAGGAGATCGCGCAAGAAACGACGAGATGGCTCGTCTCCGCGGCTTAACGGGTTCGGTTGGAAGTTGAGAGCACGAGACACGTCCCGTCCCGTCTCGGCCCGTCGTCCGTGTGCAGCTCGTAAACGGGAGAAAGAAGGTTGGCGCGCGATCGAAGAAAATCCCCTGGCCTACCGGGTATAAGAGCCAAGAATCTCGCGTTGAGGAGCACTGATCTGCAGCGTGTGTAATCGCGTGGGGATGGAGGTGAAGGGTGCAAGAGGGGCACGCGGAGGGGCTCAAGGCCGGTCACGCTGTCAAGCCAGAAAGCCTGTGCGCCGAAATATCAACATGACTGTCCAACTCGGTTAGCCTCGCTCGTTGCTCCGATTACCTTCGCCACGTTCATAGACACGCGTCCATAATCGCGTTCTTCGCGTCGTTGTGGTCGGCGTCGACGAGATCATGGGAAAATTCTTGTCAACTGTTTCCGCATTTACGATGACCACCAGGAAGTTAGGGGTGAAGGAACGACGACGGGGGGTTTAAATCGCGTCGCTCGGGATGAAAATAGAAAAGAATCGTCTTTCGGACAGGTGGTACAGCCACGGGATACTGACAGCTGATAGTTCGTGACTCTTGTATCGAGGGAAGTTACGAAACTCGTTACTACGAGAAAGACTACGACACGATCTTGCAGGAAAGAAGCGGAATGCACGCTGGTGTGCGAGAGAATGCGTGCGTGTCGAGCGCCTTCGCGGCCAAGAAAGAGGAAGAAGGACGTGGAGAGACAAAAGGGAGAGACGCTAAAGGAGAGAGACGAGGAAAAAGAAAGATATATTTGTACGGTCGATCGATCACCGATTGAAATTCGTTGAACTGCTTCGATATTGAGAGCCGTTGAATCTCATCGTAGCCCGATAAAGTCCGAACGATTTTTGCTTTATGATAAAAGCAGTTACGGTGAACAAAAAATCGAGCGAAAGAAAAAGGAGACGAGAGAGAATAAGAAAAAGAGGAGGTGAAGGGGGGGAAGAGTGGAGTAAAAGAGAAGCAAGGAAGAGAACGACGAAGGGAAAGGGGGATAGCGAGGAGGAGGAGGAGGGAGTCGAGGGGTCATCGGGAAACATAACCTCTGTACGCGCAACGTCCAAGTGAGCCGACCGAACGATTTTGAAATTTCCCATAACTTTCAATGCACTTCCGTGTAAATCTCCTTACCTTATGCTCCCTGCAACTCAGCGACCGCGACGACGATCGTGTCCAGCGTTCGCGTTTAAAATGCAGTGTCTAGTACATGAAGCACTCTTTGACAGTTTTCCACGGTGAATAGATACAAGTTCAGCTCGACTGGTACAGTTTTTTGGGGCACTGGGAACACGAGGATCGAGCCAGGCCGATAGATCACACAACACTGCTACCGACACTTCTTTTCCATACGCGACACCACGGGTAGACGTGCGATCGGGCGTCTTCGGACGAAGTAACAGGCAACCGAAAGAGCTTGGCACACCTTCGCGTCACGTTACAACGAGTTACAACGAGCCACGGGCAGCTACAGGCACGGGGCTACCTCGGACTCTCCGTCTCCGTCTCCGCTGTTGACTGGTGGCGGTGGCTACCTCAAACCTCACACCACAACCTCGTCCTCGTACCTGTGTCTGTGTCATTCTTTCTCTTTCTCTTTCTACGCTCGCACTCGGGACCAACGCTGACGGTACAGTGCATCGCCACCAGATGGACGACGTGCCCGTGCGTCTATTCGAACGTATGTAATATATAGGACGTGGCCCCGCGAGCATGGTAGATCAGTTTGTGACGTTTGTGACAGAGTTGGGTTTACGACTTACGACTTACGATATAGTTGTGCGTGTAAAATACTGAAGTATTGTACACACAAAATGACATGTAAAATACTGCGTGCAATACGTCATGGATTTACAACGTTTTTAGTGTGCACGAAAGAGTAAATTCACGTAATTTGTAAATCCTAGTCTACTCGGTAATTGTAGGTTAGCCAAACTATATTATTTTATTACACTATTAGTGCTGTATATTCTGGCTTAGAGGTATTATATATTTAAGACTGTATTATGTATTTTGTATAATAATTTGACATTTTACATGCTCAAACTTAAAATTGTCATTGTCACATACGATCAAGTATTGTTATTAACTCTGGATAGTGATAATAATAATATTGCTTTTCTTTGTACTAATATTATTTACCCTTTACTGTGTACTGAAGGAAAGGGAGCATCAGAGTGAATTAACAAAAAATTACTTGTTTCAACTTCTTCAATTTATAGCTTTAATTACTTTTCGTAAATATAAATTAAAATTAAATTTATTTAAGTAGAAGTCTATTAGATCATTTCATCATTAATTAAAAAAAAAAACGAAAATATGAAATGACTTGTACGTACTAAGTAATAATTGAATAAGAAACGTTAGAAACAAACGTGGATATTCACAATGGGATAGAACTGAAATTTCAGAGAAAATAAAGTAAAGAATGCGTACATACACACTTAGGTATTATAGCAATCGCTTGTTACTGGCATAAGTCAGGTAAACGTAAATGATCGTGGTTCAACGCTCGAGACTGACCGGGGTCGCCAAAGCATTTTCCTTTAGCTCCGCTTGACAGCGATTGGCATCTATAATCCTCGGCGGTCCGGTAAAAAAGTCGCGGAATGCGTTTGATTCAAACCCGTTCGAACGCGTTTCAGGAAACGTGAGCGAGCCTTTTCCACCCGTGACGATCATATCTATCAGATCGTTCTCGTTTAACTCGTTTTGAAAAATTGAATGTGAATATGTTGTTCAATAATGAAGGGAAAGTGGAGAAGCGAATATATTATGCACTGGAGAACATTCTTTGAATTAGGTTTTCTGCTTTTTTGGAAGGTTACTATTAACAATAATTTTATATAGTCTCCGTTGTTTTTTTTAGATACAAATAATAGCATGATTAAATAATATTAATGAAGGTAAAAAAATATTACTTAGTAAAGCAGATTTTTAAAAATGCTTTTGTAAGGGACGTTTATGTTTGCTTGTGCATTAATTTCTTTTTATTTTGAATAGATATACATACATGTAGAAATCGAACAAGTTCGAATGAGAGACGGAAAATCGCTAATCTTACCAATGACAGCATACATTAGTTTATTAATAATCAGATTATGTACAGATGGTAGTATTGTACGTAGTTATCGAGAATTCTCATTAGTGAAATCAGAGTTGGGCATTTGAATAAATAAATCCTCGCGGGAAACAATATTTTTCAAGTATGATAGATAGAATGTCATTCGAATAAATTGGCTTCGAGCAGCATTTAATGTTCTAATGAATAAATTTTTGCCGAGTATGTTCGTTACTCGATTCGGGGTTTTTAATTGTTATTTTTGCCCAAGTCTGACTGATAGTTACTATCGAATAAGACCAGTGACGTACAAACGTAGCATTTAAGAATCTCTTAAAATAATTAATTGTGGCACAGCCTAAATAGACACGGAAAATTTATAAATGAAATCTTCGCCTTTCATTATTCGCTTTCTCAAGCTGATAGATTTCTTAAAAATAATGTTTTATTAGCGGAATTTGATTATTTATTTTGTTTCTCCAAACTCCTTAGTCTTTACATCGAAATTAACACACATCGAGGACGGGGCACACTTTATTGTCCTAAGTTGAAGCAACCACTTCCAAAAATAATTTCCTATTTAGCGACGCTTACCGTTCTTATTTGTTACTCTTTCAAAAGTAATTTCCTATTTGTCCTCATAGTTTTTATCTGTTTAGATAAAGAGTAGTATATACGTATGTACGTATAATTATCCGTCCGCAATGTGTCGGCAATCAGGTAAACTCTCACGTAAGTTCTTAAGATCAAGCTTCATAAAAAAGCGCCTTCGTACCGTATAAAATGAAAAGAAAAACAGGAATCACATATAACCGAACAGTTTTTTATGCTTAAAAGACGCCAAGGGCACTTTTTGCAAGTATGATTAATCATCGGTCTATTATAGCAAACTTGTCTCCAGTACTCTTTGCAACGGCAGTAAATCCTAGCTACACTTTTCAACGCATAGAACTCATGCACTCTATCGGCCGTCAATCCTACCGAGGCACGAGCTTCAGGTACAGCTGCGAAATATCGTTACAACCTGGAAACATGAAGCGTTCATTATCGTATCTCAGATGTGACAGCATGACTCTAAAATAGCCAGTTTAATAAGAATTAATAAAAAAAGAAGTTTCCATTTATTGAATAAAATGTATTATTAGATCATTTTATTCAATAAGTATTTATTTGTTCCTGCATACAGTGATTCCCTAATATTCGGACGCATTTCAAACAGTAGTCACTTTTTTAATACCTGACTAAACAACTAAATACCTTCTAATGTCCCAAACAAAATGAAGTTGTTTACTCCAATATTAGAAAAGTGATTCCATTTTAAAATGTGTCCGAATATTTATGGGAATCACCGCACGTGGAATACTATTCGAAAACATATGCTTAAAATTGTCAACTAGTAGTCAAGGCTAATACAAATAATATAAATGTTGAATCTACAGTAACCTATTACTTTATATTATTAGTTAAATCTACTTACGCCCCTATAATTCTCAGCCAGCCAAATAAAACATCACGAAGACGACTTAAATTTATTTTCTGAATCGCGGCGGAATCGCGTTCGTCGGCGTTGGTGTCGGGCTACTGCTGCAGGATCTGCTCAATGCTCTGTGAGGCTCGACAGTGAGGAACGTCTTGTCGGTGGTCGGTGGCGTGGAGATGATTTCCGGTTCAGCCGGACTTGGACACCGACGTTGCGTACAGGTCGATAACGTGCTCCTCGACAGTGTTTGTAACGGAATCTGATAGATTCTTATCGGTTTCCAGTCGCCCTGATTGTCTGTAGAAAATAAGCACATCCTTTCGTTGATAACATCTATTTGAATTATTATGATAGATAAATTTCCGTGCACATTAGATGTTTTCATTAAAAAATGTTTACGGTTATCTGTAACAAATTTTATGACTACAGTTCACCTAACAATTTCACTAAACGGTAAAAGATATTGTCATAATAGTGTGTCAGAATAGTTTAAAAGGAATAGAATATCTTCAGATATTCAGAGTCATTATAGAACGCAACGCGTTCACGTTGCGCAAATGGTTGGAAAATTGTGATGGTATTGAAAAGATGGATTGGTGCATACTTTGCAGATTGGATCGAGAGGACGATGATTGCGCGAGAGGTGGCGGACTGGAAACCGGTTCCTCCTTGTCCGAAGGTTTCGAGTCCAGTCGGATCCTCTCGCACTTTCCCGGTAGAAACTCCGGTGCTGTCGTTGAGAAGTATATGTCCTGCTTTGAAGTGATCAGATTTAGATTCGGCATGGCGATTGTATGCACCAGATTCCCGTTTATTATCAATCGTATCTCCATCGTGTCGTTCGTGAACGCGATCACATAGGGAAAGGCACAAGCTGAAAATCGTTTTCAATCTCAGTTTGTTGAAGCAGAGAATATACAGACACGAAATTTTTCGTATACAGTGGCCCTCTTTGATGTTCGAACACATTTCACGGAATAACTTTTTTAAATCTTGTAAGATGTATAAAAAATCAAATTGATGAGTTCAATATTGAAATGTATCCGAATATTAACCCTTTGCCCTACAACCATGTATGAGACTCGTGGTCAGGTATTCGGGTCTGGCCCGTGGTACGTCGGTCGGGCCAAATGTTAACATCATTGTCTCGAATTATACTTTCCTAATAAGTACGACATCTTTCTTGTTCACTGATGATTTGTTTGTAATTATTTATCAAATGTTTTACAAAATTAAACCAGCTATGCCTTACACATGTATTTACATTCCGTAAGTCGTGTGCGATTGGTACAACTTACGACCGATTTGCCGAACCGTGGAATGGCTCGAAGGCTGGGCGGTCTTGTTTTCGTTCCGGGCCCAAGTTGTTGAAACTTAAATCGCAGGGCAAAGAGTTAATGATGGCCACTGTATCTGAAAATGTTACCTATTGCTGCCGGCACGGAATTCCAATTGAAATCGAACTCTGTGGGTTCTGAGGTAGTTTCTTCTAAGAGTTTCTGAAAGTGGCACATATCTGGGAAGAAAAATTGAACATTAACAGTAAATTCATTTTACAGAAGTATTTACGTTTTAAAATAACATCTAATTAGGCAAATCGTTTACGTACTGTTGTAGCACAGCAGAAGTTCAGGTTCTTCGTCCTCGCAAAGATCCAAGGCAGCCACTAGGTGCGGCTTCGGTGTTCCTTCGACATGAAGGATTCTGCTGCTTCCGGAGGCCGAGATCAACTCGAAATGGTGCCGAATACCACAGCAAAGAGTCCATTCGTTATTTACATCAGGGTTTTCCAATATTGTCAATAACGATGGTGTCTCGCTGGCATTGAACTCTTTCAGGTGCACGAAACCATCTATAGTGTCTGTATCTGCAGCGGAACACCACGCCGTCCATGCTGCACTGTGCTTCCATTGCAAAACTGTTAAACGTCGGCCAACCGCCACGCACTACAAAAAATTATTATTGTAAATGTAGAAACAATTTGGATGCAGGTAACATCGATGCATTTCCTTATCACGTAAAGATGGAGTCTAATCTATTAATTGGGAAGATTGTAAAATATGATGCCGAGAATAAAATAAATTATTGAGAATACAGTTGATAAGAGAAGAATTATTTGACCCAGTAAAGAACATACCATACGTAGATGTGAGCCACCGGGCATAGTAATAGTGTACAAATGACACCCGCGAGTCCTCGGAAGCCTTCTATCTTTTATGTGAGTTCGTCCCCTGACTGCCAAAGGACGCACGTGAGTACGAGTGCGTCTTATCGCGGGCTTGAATTTAGAAGTGGCTCGCGTGAAACTGTCGAAATCGGTCTCTTCGCTTTCGTCTACGTCGTCGTCTACGTCATCGTCGTCCCCGTTGTCCTCGTACTCTTGATCCTCTTCACGATCATTCGGGAGATCTGTGGTCCTGTTCACGGTATTGTTATCGAACTCCCTCAGACGAAAAACGTACACGTTGCTCTCCTTGCCTTTGTCGCCGGCGCGAAACAACAATATCCCGTGTTGTTCGACCACGTCCAGCTGTTTAATTTGCACGGACTCGTCGAATATTAATCTGTGCGATAGACTATCTGGAATTGATTTGGGAAATGCGATTTTAATATTAACAATCGTGGAAACCGCCGGAATGGTTTCAAATCACTTATATTAATTTGTATGATGATGTGAATGAAATAATGATTTGAAATGTGTCTATGATTTCCTTGTAAATGCATGAAATTCAAAATCGAATGATATAGAAGAGTAACTCATTCATTGTAATTGTAATTCATTGTATATGTAAGTAATAAGTTCGTTTTACCTTCAACCAAAAATGTCCCGCTTTCAGTAGCAAGGATTAGCTTGTTATCGAGCCAGACGTCACCGCAGACAACCTCGTGAGGAAAATCCGGATAGATGCATCTCGGTTCCCACGGTCTGGGCTTCAATGGGCCAGCCGTGGCCAAGGACGTTGGCGCCAAGCCTCTAACAATAACTTCCAGTTTGAGGGCCTGGCCGACGCGCACCATCTCCACAGCACGCGTCTCCTCGCGACGTCGACCTGGAGCCTCCACCACATCCGACAACGCTCGTCGGTTTAACATACTCTGCGAAAATTCGATCGGTTTTCCTTTCTACGGGGGGCGGGAACAGCCAATACACCACATAAATTTGTGTCCTCTTTCCATTTATAATTTTTCTTTTATTTAGTTCAAACGGATGGTGAGAATTTGTGCCTTTCTAGGAATTTGTGCATGGGATTGCGATTGTGCAATTGAAATTATTGCAAGGAGAGATTTACTATTCGATTTGAAGTTAATCAGCAATTAATTAATTGTAAGCTTAAATTAAATTTTGAAACACGCATGGTGAGTAAAAGTTGTGCAGGGTCACAGAAAGCTCCTTTGCTGTTCACGTAGAGACTTACGTTGCTTTTACTCTCCTGCGAATGTTCTTGATACATATCCCGCAGAAGAGCATCGAGAGTTCTTTCTCTTTTTTGGGCGAACGTTGGGGTGTTGAATGTGGCTTTTTCGCCGTTGATCAGCTTCACAAGAAGAAATTCTCGCAGATTGTAAGGGTCCTCGAACACCGGCGGACAAGGTAGACTCGGCCCGAACAGAGGTACGCTTTCGTCGCAGTAAATGGCTACGCGCCATGCTTTGCTGTTTTCTTCAGCTGATACCACGGCGAACACGTCTGCACGTTTATTATATTAATCATTATATGCAAACAAAAAAGTAATTTAACATTAGAACTGAACAGTATAAAATTTTTTTAAAATATTTATTTAAGTCAAAGAAAATGAAATCGTGCGCGTTTAATTTCTTCTCAACATTTGATTACTTGACAGTAAAACAATAAATGAGAATAGTTCAATTAAAGAGAGGAATAGAATAAAATTTGGAGGGGTTGATTTATGCTCGTGAAAATTGAAACCTTACGCGTAAATTGACTTCTAATGCAGTTCGGGTTGAACGTGTCTATCGCGTTAGGGTCGTCTGTGTAAACGATGTTAACGATATCGTTTCCGATATGCCGTTTTCTCTCCAGCTGTTGCGGATTATCCTTTGAATAGGGAAGCATCGTGCTTACGTGATACATCACCTCGTGTCCCGCGTATACCGTGTAATAACTTTCTTTCCCGGTCATATCGCCTAGAAACGCCCACAAAAAAAAACCACTGTACATGTTACCTTATGGAGCGACGTAATAAAAGTGAATGAAAGAATCCAAACAGATGTGTGTCTTAAGCAAAAATATTTTCATGCTTCATCTACGTTTAATATCGTCTATCCAGAAATAAAAGTTTTTTACAACAATGTTCAATGTGCTAAATAATGCGATCAAATTTTAAATATTTCAATTTTCTGTATGTTTAGTTTTTAAGCCTACTAGTAAAGAAGTGCTTGTAGCATGTACAATACATTTTAAAGCGTGAATCATGAAAATAGAATTCTATATGTATAATATAGCGACGTAAGTATGGTACCTTTTACATCCAAACCACCTCGATACTTGTCCCAGTTCTTCAGTTGTATTCTCTCGCCCAGTATTTCAAGGAAGTTATTAAAACCTGGACTACCTTCCTCTGTAAATGAGTCACTAAGTGTATAAAAGATTCTTCCTATCATTAAGTCAGGATCGTGAAGAAGATTGCATATTTGCATCTCGTATAAAAGTATTCATACTCTATTTCAAGTTNATGCATCTACTTTGTTAATTGAAATATTATTATCAGCTCCCAGAATGAACATTTACAAAGAAAAAAAGGAATTTCTTCCTGAAAGTTATTGAAATAAAATATAAAGTTGTGTACAATATTATTGCTGTGATTTGTAAAATAATTTTGAATTGAGAGCGAATGGCGAATATTAGAACTCGGTGGGAAAATTACAATAAATTCAAAATAATGACAAGCATGTTTTGATTTTAGATATGAATAGTTATAACACATCCATAATAGTATAATAGTCCGTTTTCTCATAAATTTCTCATAAATCAAGTAAACTGTATTTCAAGTGAGCCAATTAAGTAAAATTGCTAAGGAACGCAGAATTTTCGAAACGCAAGGTTTTCTAACACGATAGCAGATCAAATGAATAATTGCAACGGACGTAAATTAAAGAGGTGTGTAACACTGAACGGAGAACAGCTGCTGACTTATAGCAGGCGCTATCTAATGCACTTGCTTATCTAAAATCCTTAAAAATACCGTGCATGCACTCTACTCACGTTTTCCGAGAAAGTATTTGAAGTACCAACGCGTTTGGTACTCCGGATTTTCCAATATTGGCGTACTTGGCGATCCGAACATCTGCACATGTTGAAAATTTCAATTTTTAGCCTCACCTTTTTCTTCCGACGTACAATCTAATTTCGATGTATGGCTAAATGTGGTCGAAAAACAAAGCTCAAACAATAATGTAGGAAGAATGTAAAAAGCGTGGCAGATATCATTTAATTTCTTTTCATACTGCATACCATCTGTCTTATTAATTCTAAATTGCAATTTCATTGCAATAAATTCTTTATAATTTTATTTCGAAAATGTCTGAATAGATAGATATAGTCTGGATTCGTTATAAAAATAATTATTAGCGTCACTAAAAAACTGCGCTGATTGTTGACTTTTATTCGATTTTTCAATGCTTTATGATATTCTGTTGCTCGTTAGCGTCGGAACAAAAAAGACTATTGCAATATCAACGTAATATCTGCTACAGTGATGATATAAATTGGCCTCCAATATCATTCAATCACACTTCCGTCGGTTTCTGTTTACGAGCTTTTATTACGTCGTTGTTGTGTACAGGTACGGAAAAGTGAATTTTACTATATCAATATCATCATTATTAACAATTTCTATTACATTTAACTGATTTGTGAATTTACACTATTTTATGCGAACTGTTCGAATTTAAATGTGGACTTCAGGAAGTAAATTGATTTTAATAAAAATTTAAAGTTACATATAGTAGCAGATTCCAAAATTGATGTAATACAATTTTTTTTATCCAGTCTGTGAAAGTTTTTTAGTTAAATTGTGTTGGAAAGATGTGCCATGTGCACGTACAGATGTTTATGTTTCAAATTCGTCAAAAACCCTTTGTATGCGTCGCCTAGCAGCGCGGCGAGTTTCAATGAACCGTTCTGGCAGACGAATCTATAAATTTGCTGCCAGGACCAGGAATTCATACTCTTACGGAATTTTAAAAATAAGACGGCAAGGAGGAATAGGAGTTTATTTATCAGTGGCAACAAAAGAGTGAATCTAAATAAAGTTTCATGGCGAGAAGTGAGTCCAGTTGCGAAGAAGGGGAAAAACAGAATAGATGGCATAGAAAGAAAAAGAGGCGTAATTACACTTTTCTTACTTCCTCTTTTTCGCCGGGGGAATCACCGTTCTCCACTCGGAACCTTCTTCCATTGTCAATGCCGTCTTGCTCGATCTGCGGCAGCTAAAAGACGATTTTCAACTTCAAATGGGTCAACGTTAGCCACTAGATTGTGAGAACCGCATTTAACTGGCGAAACAAGGGGAACAAAATGGATGCGAAAGAGATACATAAAGGGATCGCGTTCCAGTTTTCGGAGGGCCATCGTTACGCACGGGAAGCTTGAAAAATGAACGCCGTTTCGCGACTTTGTTCTCTGTATTCTCTACCTGTCGTTCATTGCGATCCACTACATAGGACTCTGCAGTAATTAACTTTTGTGTACCGGCTTTATCTATCTTTATTTCCACGGACTCAACTTTTGTCAGAGCGTCCTGTTCCGCACGTAAAAAACAAACATGCTACAGGAAAAGCACAAAAGTTTAGCTATTTCGTGTTATACAATGGTTCTTGATTATGTTGTCAAAATAAGAATTTAGGTCATATTTCTTTACCTTAGGTCAGGAATTAGGTGATAATTAAGATTATTTCAATTTTAATCAATTTATTTTATAAAACTTGCATCGATGCATTCAAACTTGTTTATAAAATTTTTGTTACATTTATTATATTTAGTACATGAATATACTTTTCCAATGAACATTTCATTTTCATACCTTTATGTTTTTATGTGCATTTTAAAAATTCAGCTAGAAATATAAAATTGATGAAAAGACTTACCATTTCGACGCTGCCATAATATCGCCTGGAGAGAACACCTCTCCTGGAAATGGCATCTGTGGTGGACCTGTAACATTATGTAAGTTACAGTATGATTCCACTTTGTAGTTTGAACAGACACGGGACAGTATCGATCACAATAACATTTTTATAATTCGCGTCTCGTTACCATTTTTTGCCGGTGCATTCGCAGCCCGAAGATCGTTCAGTGAACAACTTCTTAAGTTCTACGTTGCATTTGGGATTAACAAAGGCGATCGTAACAAAAACGAAGAAACGCGGTCTTTATCTTAAGCTTCCTTCGACGTCCTTTACCTTTTTGTTACCTAAATATCTGGGTTAATGAGGTCAGCCGGATCGCAACAATTAATTTCACTTGACCAAAATTATTTCTTTGGTCGTAAATCTTGATTTCGATTTTTTATTTTTCTCGAACAGAGCTGCATTTCGAATTGTCCGATTCAAATAATTATTTGTAACAAAAGAAATTATTGCATCAATTTAAAAATGTGCGGATAAAAACTATGTAGAGAAGATAACAATTTTACATAATAATTATCAGATATAGATTAAAGTAATAGAATATTCTATGAGAACTGTCTTCTAGCATTTAGTTAGAGAAAAAATGACATAATATCTGAAGTGATACTTCATAAATAAAACAGCTACTCGAGGTAATGAGACTACCTATACTGCAACGCTGGTTTTAATTAAATTTTTACAGATAGCAATTTCGACTAGTTACGAGCTGTGTAATTTCAGTCTCGAATATTAAATATTTAATAACGTCGAAGTACACAAGTTAGGTTCACTGCACAATTTCATGCACGGTATCATTTTTTTAATAATAATTCTAGCTTATTTGAAATCGTAACTGACGATCGTGTTATAATTCCTGGTATTCGAATCAGTTTTACTATTAACGATATGCCTAACTTAGTAAGTGGTTGCAGTTCTTGTTTGCCTTACCGCTTCCATACGACGATTCGTAAATCTTGATATTTCATATGTAGATGCACGTAGTAGATATTAGATACATACATACATAATATAACGACAAATTCAGTTATTTTTTTTATAAAAATAGACAATTTTCTCAGTAGTTTCTCGAAAACCTTATAATATTCCAAGTTCGTTTCGAACATTTTTTTGTAAACTTGTATTGGAAAAAATGAAATTGAATTGTAGACTGAAAGCGAGGAAGACGATAATGTTTTCTTATAATGTGATCAATTGGTTGCTCAAAAAGTTAATTGACGAAATTAAGAAATGACGTAATCTGCTGGTATCGGGCAAACGTACACGTGATGGCTGGCGCGACGATGTAGATGCCTGGCGTGCACGGATGAGAGCGCGGACACACAAACCGATCTGGACCTGTTCCTGCGTATCGCCTCATGCGGCACGGCCAATGTTTCGTCGTCGCTATCACTCTCCATCACCGAGCTCCCGTTCCCAGGTGCCGAGGTGCTCTCCCTTTTTCCTTTGCTTCGTTTGCACTTATCCACGCCGGCAGCCGTCGATGAGGTCGAGGTCGCCGACGAGGAGGGCACCGAGGCTGACACGTTTGTAGACGAGCCACTCGTCAACGAGACCCCTCGCAAACGAGAGACCAGCTTCATATCCAAGCACAACATCCTCGCTTGGCGTCGGTTCACGAGAGTTCTCCTCCTCTCCCCTTCTTACTTCACTTTTTCTTTCTTTTAATATTTCGGTATTACTTGATATCTGTTTCTAGCTTCTTTTTTTTATTCCTATTACTCTTCAAACTTTTTATTTTCTCCTTTCACATTTAGGTATTCCATATTTGTGTGCCTCTTGAGATTCGGTAAGTTTTTCAGAATGTTCTGTAGAATTAATGTTGTACCGTAAGTGTTTAAAATAACATTATTCGTGGACGATCAGTTCTTCTTTTTTATTGTTAATGTCTTTTAAGCAAATTGTTGAGATTATGTTCTCTCTCTCTCTTATTATTAATCTCTTATTATTAATTTTGTTTATACGTCACTTTGTAAACTTATTAATATATGTATAAATATTAAAAGCTTGGCATATCAGCGTTCATGGATGATTAATATACGTTTTTAGTATTTCAAATAAGTTCTTCATGTAAATTTTTTAAATTATTCAGCAAAATTATCTGAACCAGTCATAACTCGCATCAGTACAATTCATAGATAACAGTTATTATCTTTTGGTACATTATCTAAATTATTTAAATGCATTTGATTGTACTGAACTCTTCGTTGTCAATTCTTCAGATCAATTCCATTAATTGTGGGTAGTATAATTTACAAATCACATAATGATCATTGGTAAACATGATCAGTTCTCATGTTATTTCAAACGTTAAACTTTTAAAACTTCTAAATCACATTAGAATACTATTTTNNNNGATTAATATACGTTTTTAGTATTTCAAATAAGTTCTTCATGTAAATTTTTTAAATTATTCAGCAAAATTATCTGAACCAGTCATAACTCGCATCAGTACAATTCATAGATAACAGTTATTATCTTTTGGTACATTATCTAAATTATTTAAATGCATTTGATTGTACTGAACTCTTCGTTGTCAATTCTTCAGATCAATTCCATTAATTGTGGGTAGTATAATTTACAAATCACATAATGATCATTGGTAAACATGATCAGTTCTCATGTTATTTCAAACGTTAAACTTTTAAAACTTCTAAATCACATTAGAATACTATTTTTAATGTGAACATTACGTACATATATTCTCAAAACGTTTTGCTGATGTCAGATACATATTTCATAAGATTTTTAAATATCTCGTATTCATATTACTTACGAATGTATATAAGCATTATGCATGAATAAAAAATGTACGAAATTACGTTTCACCGCGAAGAGGATGCGATACAAAATATTCCACTATCATTCTTTTCTACTTCCATGGAAAGGATAATAAGTTTATGTGTAGTTCGTCCTACTTTCAACAATTTCCTCATGTATGAATATTTGTAATAAGTCCTGTATCGCTCGAGAATAAATTTAACTTGAAAATTGAATCGAGCAACAAATCCAACGTCATTTTGTTACAAGCGACTACATGTAAGGTGTATTTTACATTTAAGTTGGATCCTCGCGTATTAGACTAAAGCTGCGGCTGATCGATTTTAAAATACAAAAATTTATATTATATTTTTTTAAAAAATCTGTAGCAATTATTAATTATAAAAAATAAGTTTTATTTTTATACAACCTGCTTGTAAAATGAATAATAGAAGACAGGGATAACTCTACAAGAAAATGTCACCATATAATGTACGTAATGAAAATATGAATGAAATATATGTTATATACATAATGTTTTATTGCAAATTAGGCAAAAACATTCATGATATATCTTGGTGTGTGAATTTCACGCATAATTACATAATTATTGAAATTGTGATACAAGTATTAAAATTGTTATTTGGATCTAGAATCGTGATAGTTAATCGATAGTGAAAGGGTTAACACCATCAATTCCAAGTCTCGACAACTATAATTAGCAATAAACCTCCATCGCTCAACCCTTTTAAAGATCAAATGCCAGTCATACTCGCGGACATCGATATTATTGACCGAGTTTTCCTGTTATAGAGGTCTGTAACCCTTTCGAGGATCGCGAACTAATGACACTGACCAGCCTGCTCTACTGTCCTTTCATTTCGTTTTCTTTCTTATTTTAGCGACGGTAAACAGAGATAAGTCTGATTGATGAATTCGTTTTATTGACCACTTCGCTAATAAAAGTCATAATTTACACAATTTTTAATTGAATTGAAATTTCGGGGTAATTAAGGTTTTGCGATGGCCTGTGATTTATTTGTTTATTTCAAACAAGAAAAGTACTTGAAAATAAAAACGTTTACTTAATTTTTGAGGTATTTGAGAGGTTTGGTATCATAAGTTATACTTTTAAAAAATTAAAAACAGATATCAATCATATTATTCACTCTAACAAATGTTAAACATAAATTAATTAAGTCTTTCAGAATAAAAATCTCATTATTTTTTATTCCATAGCTTTCTATCTGAGTACGTATTAAAAGTTGAGAACTTACTACTTGGTGCAAAGAGGGAACGAGAAACACTTTCATTCTTTTCATAATACGCCACTAAAGTAAAACAACTTACTGAAATATCTACTGCATATTACCATTCTAGACATTCTTCTTAGGAGAATTCATTCTTTAAGGAGACAATTGTACTTTCATGTAGTTTTTATAATTCTTTGTATATTGTTACGAAAGAGAAACAATTGTAATTATTTTTTTTTTGGTAATATTATTTTATATAAAGAATTAATGAATTTCCTTACTACTTCTGTGTTTCAGGTTTAAATGTTCCAACATCTTTTTCAATCCCCTTATTACTGTAATCTGATAATACTATTTAGAGGAAAATCCTCGACAGAAGTATAGGACGTAATTTAATGTTATCTCTAATTAATAGTAAATAACGTATAATGAATGAGAATGACCACTTACTGTAAGATTACACCGATTCGTTGAAATTACCTGAATGCAGTAAATCACTGAAAAGACTTTTACGACGTAAAACCCCACCTCTCTTTCTATTTTTACGCAGTAAATTGGTCCTTTCCTTATTTACTGCACTTCTCTCTTGGAAGTATTATTTTAAATTAATTTCAATTGATTATTTTAAACAAAGTTTAGAATTGATAAGAGCACTAATTTTCTACAAAGTCTGTTAATTCCCTGATCATGTTAATATTTTTATTTTTGTAAGAAAAATAGTAGTAATGTATTTATAGATTACAAATTAACGAATGTCGTACTTTTTACTGTACAGCTACTCAAAACGTTTCTCGACCCACTTGACATATTTATTATGCAGTATAATAATGTTATAGAGTTCTGCAGAATCTGTTCATATTTCTAGAAACTTTAGCTTTAATTTGTTTCATGTTTCATCAAAATCTGTGCAGTGGGAAATATAAGAATTTTTGAGAGAGTGGCAGGTTTTAGAAAATAAGACTCTAAGATAAACTGCAAAGTAGCAAGCATTTGTCTATGATTTCAGTTCGAACATTAGTTAGGACTCATTTGCATTTCAATCGAGTTTAAATACACGAATTACTCTGCTCTATCGATGCCAGAATGCCGCTTGCCAAATAGGTCGGGAATCGTTTTGGGTAGCTGTATCAGCGAATATGATGATAACTTTAAAAACTTTTATGTAGCAATTATGACAAAATTTTAAATATTCTGTTTCCTATACGGCAATTTTTACTTTATCCCATCATTTAATTATCGAATAAATCCGAATCGATCAAAAGAACTTCCGAGAACATCGCCGATCAATTAACCCGGAAGTACCTACCAGACCGCAAAGCATAACATGTCACCGTACGTCTCCTGATTGTGAGTGAAACGTTATCTTCTTGCAGCCTCATCTAAGGCGGAGACGAACGATTTTATCGGTGCTTATCGTTTAAATGGGAGCAATTATTCTCAGAGACTTCGAACCGAGCGGAGGTCCATTCATGTCGATCACCGGCAACGAACAATTCAACCGAGCGTTTAATAGCCGTGCGCAGCCACTGTTCACGGCGACGCGACGACCTCGATCTCGGCCACCGATCCAGCATACTCTTAGCATCGGCGAAAAAGTACAAAAGCGAGAAAGGATAAACGTGCCGGAGATGCGAGAAGAGAAGAAGATTAACACACAATAAGGATGACGTTCCTTCTGTCCTTTAAATATCATGAATAAAGATAAATAATGACGGCAATCAGTGAATTTTAAGCAAGAAATTGTTTGGTGCTTTCTGATTTGTATGTCTTCTGTATTCGGTTCGTGTTTCGCATAATGTTTTATTTAGATGGGATAATTTCATGATATAGAAAAATTGTGGTGTTAACTTCAGAAATACTTGCATACTTTTTGAATCTTCTTCAGTCGTCCGATTTTGAATTCGTTAAACTTTCAAATTTTATTTCTCAGATTAGATATTTTAAAGAGAAGAGTGGATATATTAATTTCAATTGTCTAGATTCAATATCATTATTCAAATATCACTTCTGTAATTGATAGTGAAAAATAGACGAGAATCAACAACTTACACTCGTATTTTCATTCATTCAACTTAACAATTTTACTAGAGAGCTTCACTATCTTTTTTAATTTTCCTTTCCGTTTCAGTTTCAATCAAATGTTCATCGTCACAATTAAGAACACGGAAAGTGCACTGGAATTCAGTCAGAGAAATGTATATTTGCTGTTGACCAGTGTGACGAATCCGAGTACATCGAGGATTAAGGAGGAGAACGAACGATGAAAGAACCGTCGTCGCGTCGATGGGTTTGCCACGGGTCTGCAACCCCTACTGACAGTGCCAGGACACGACCCTTTTCCGAATGAGGACGCACACGACAAGAGAGCGAGAGAGAAAGAGAGAAAGAGAGACAGACAGAGGGAGAAAGAGGGAGAGCGCGAAGTGTACTCGTAGTAACACGGCGACTCGACGACTGGCGCCGCGTCGTCGAGCTCATTGGCTCTCTTTTCCGACCCCCTGCCACCCCCGCGGTCGCGTTGTTTCGTTTCTTAGAAAGAGAGACAGACAGAGGGAGAAAGAGGGAGAGCGCGAAGTGTACTCGTAGTAACACGGCGACTCGACGACTGGCGCCGCGTCGTCGAGCTCATTGGCTCTCTTTTCCGACCCCCTGCCACCCCCGCGGTCGCGTTGTTTCGTTTCTCTTCCACTTACTGTCTTACCGCGGTGGGATCGCTTCACTCCACTCCCTGCGACCGTGCCGCATCTCTCTTCTTCTTATCAGTAGCCC